TAATTAGCAGGCTTTAGAAATCAGCATAGCTGTAAATTTGGTCATCATGTGTGCTTTATTACATACGTAAAAAACAATGTAAGCAGGTGAAAGGATGGGGGAAGTCTCAGTGTTTTTAAAACTAAGAAGTGTCTTGGGATATATTAATTTTTAGATATTCAACTTGAGATAGTCTAAACTATAACTGTTAAAAGGTTCTGAGCTCAATACAGTCAAGTTACCTTAAATATGGCTTTATCACAAGCAGTTTATTTAAAAATAATGATTCCCTGTCCTATCAACTTCTTCAAAAATTTCAGTGACAGAGTATTCCTTGGGGAAAATGTATCTTAAGTACATCAGAGATAAATTCTGCCAATATTTTAGATGATATGAAAAATGATTCTCTGAAATAAAACTATCTTCTAAAAACTGTGTGACATCAAGTGGGGAATGCTGTTGGGTTTTTCTGGAGCAACACTGATCCTTCATTTAGCAACATTCTTATTTAAAGAGGATATTTTAAGTATCAGGTGTGCCACAGTTTTCATAGCCCACAGCAGTGACACAGATGTTCAACAGTAAGCAGAGCCTTTGTGTTAGACACATTGGCTCAACACATTTTCCCAGTTATTTGGATTGGAGAAAATGATGCTTTAATTCTCTAGGGGATCAGGGATTTCACTACAGCATTACTTTACTAGGCATGGCTTGTGGTGGACTTAGAGTAACATAAGTTTCTGTGACTCGGAAATATCTCTAAAGGGACCCAGGAGTGTTTTCTCATTCTGTTCACACCTTGCCCTAGCAGTAAACTAGTCACTGCAGCTCATGAGACACACTCATTGCTGCATATACTGCCATGGTGTTGTTGGGTGTATCCAGGATGACATTTAGACACAAATGACTCTTCCACGTTAACACATTCATGTTCACGCTCACGCTGACCTAAAGCACAGAAGTTTACTTCTCTGAAGAGAAAAACAGTGAAGAATTCAAACTGGCTATGAGGGTTTCAGAAATAAAATGCCTTAGAAAAACTCACTTTTCTTAAACAATACTGGATTCTGTGCTTTGGACACCTATTACAGCTGATGGTGAGCTGAGAATCTGAGAGCAAATTGCAAATACTTGGCTATGTAAGGCTTCACTTTGACTCCCACAGACCTCCTCTTGCAGTCATTAGAAATCACACATCGTGGTGAAGGAGGAAATGCCTGTGCCAGACACCACTGATGTATTCTCCCTGATTTATGAAGAGGGCATATATGCAAATGTTCTGCTTTGTTTTACAAGCTTAGCTAACATGAGCCTTGTTATGACACGATTTGGAATAGGAGCTTAATCCTAGAAACATTACCAGATTTACAAACAAATCCAAAGCCCCCCAAGAAAAAATAACCCAAATGGGAAAAACAATTTGCCTTTAATTTGCAATTACATCCTTGGCAATAAATATTCCTCACAATGCTGTTCTTCTGCTCACCAAGGCACATCCAATTTATAAAAACCTGAATGTATTAAAATGCCATATAGATAATAAAATCCAGAATAGCATCGATTGCTGCAAAACCAGCACTGGACAAAGATGCTTCATGCGAATGCACTTTTAAGACTGAAAGAAAATAGTTTCAAAAACAGATACATATTATGAGTGTCTAGAAATATAATTAGATTGCTCCAAGCAAGCTTCATATTCATAAAATATCAACAGTACAACTTCCCCCCTAACAATGGCTATTTTATTTTGCTGCATATATTCACCCTAAACTTTCACATATTACATTAAAAATCTGGTGTGGTTCCAGGCTCCCACTAAAGAAGAGCTGTAACGCTAAAGTATTTTTAAAGTAAACAGTATGTGTGATTAGTTTAGAGCCCTGACATTGCTCAGGCTGTTTTTACTATTTTTTAGGAAACTGTGGAGCTTCGTGTGTGACTTTCGGTTGATTTTGATAGTTATGTTACCAATTCAATACGTTCCCAAGCTAATGAAATACATCTGTCTTGGCTAAACCAGCAGGGCAAAGCAAAGCAATTTTTCTGTTTATTTAAAAGCTGTTTGTGTCACTACAAGCCAAGGTCAGAAAGACTCAAATAAGTAACAAACTTTTTTTTTTTATAGTCAGTTTGGTTCCTATGTTAATCCTCAGTTTTCCATGTCCCATTCAGAAAATGTCTAACATACTAAGTAGTCTACAAAACAGCAAAATGTATATTTTCCCAGAATGATTGGCTCAGTTGAAATTCAAGTTTATAAAGAAACGTGTTTCAACCTTAATTATAGAGAAAACTTCCATCCTTTCAGAATGGAAACAATTCACAGCAGGTTTAAGAAATAAAAGCAGATGAACTTTATTATGTCCAAAGGATTACTCACTTTTGCATGTTTTCTTATCTGGATTAAGTCTAAACCCTTCTTGGCATCGACAAAAATAGGAATCGTCTGTATTAACACATTCCTGTTCACAACCATGGTCCTGAACAGCACAATAGTCTGGTCCTAAATGGAAAAAAAGTTGTGTCAGTGAGGAATATAATTCCACAGAAATAAGCTAGGTGAAAAGGAGTTTCTTTGTTTTGTTTTCTTTATCTTTTTTTTCCTCAGCACCATTCTGACTTTTGACCATATTGCTTCAAACTATGAAATGTTTCATTTTTCCATATATCTGCTATACTGAGGTACACCTGACATGTATACTTCAAAGAATTAGTGAAGAACACATATACTTCATGCAGTAAATAAGTTAGAATATTAGTATTACTTCACACTTTGCAGCTAAGCCTTACACATTTCCTCATCAAAATTGCCTCTTTATTTCATTCAGAGCAAGTTAGATATGATCTGTAATAAATACACAAACATGATTTTGAATGCCTTTCTTTAGATCAAAGCAGGACAATCAGGTCATCAGGAGCATTGATGTTCTTAACAGCTGAGTGCTGCTGCATAGTGCTTCCACTTGAAATGCTTGTGGAAGAGAAGATGAGCAGTCTAGAAACAGCTATCAGTTGTGTATAAAGTATGTAGAAAGGAAAGCAATTGTGCACTAAGGACTGGGATATTTCCCACATAGTGTTTATCGTTACTGATGAAGTCAAAGAACCTGTCATTCACTTAGACGCAGTCTGGCCATCACGTAGTTTCATATCACAGAATCATTAAGGGTGGAAAAGACCTCTGAGATCATCAAGTCCAACGCTGGACTGATCACCATTTTGTCAACTAGACCATGGCACTAAGTGCCATGTCCAGTCGTTTCTTGAACACCTTCATGGATGGCAACTCCACCACCTCCCTGGGTAGTCCATTCCAATGTTTAACAACCCTTTCCATGACGAAATTCCTCTTGATGTCCAGCCTGAACCTTCCCTGGTTCAGCTTGGGGTTATCATAGAATCATCAGGGTTGGAAGAGACCTCTAAGATCGTCAACTCAACCATTAACCTGTCACTCTGCTGTAACCCCTAAACCATATCCTCCAGTGTCAGATCCAGATGCCTCTTAAACACACACCACAGATAGTGACTCCACCTCCTCTCTGGGCAACCCATTACAGTGCCCGACCATCCTAACAGTGAAAAATTTATTCCTAATGTCTAATCTGAATCTCCCTGTCTCAGCTTATGGCCATTCCCTCTATGTCCTGTCACTAGCTGCCTGTGAAAAGAGACTAACCCCCACCTTGCCATAACCTCCTTTCATGTAGCTGTAGAGGGTGATAAGGTCCCCCCTGAGCCTCCTTTTCTCCAGGCAAAACAATCCCAGCTCCCTCAATTGCTCCTCATAGGACTTATGTTCCAGACCCTTCATCAGCTTTGTTGCCTTTCACTGGACAAGCTCGAGCACCTCAATGTCTTTCTTGCAGTGAGGGGCCCAGAACTGGATCAATACTGAGCCCTGGGGCACCCCACTGTGCCTGGCTGCCAACTGGATGTGGCTCCATTCACTACCATTCTTGGGCCCATCCATTCAGCCAGTTTTTCACCCAGAAAAGAGTGCATCTGTCCAAGCCATGGACTGCCAGTTTTTCCAGGAGAATACCATGGGAGACAATATCAAAGGCTTTGCTGAAGTCCAGGTAGACTACATCCACAGCCTTTTCCTCATCCACTAGGCAGGTCCCCTGGTCATAAAAGGAGATCAGGTTGGTCAGGAAGGACCTGTCTTTCCTAAACCCACACTGGCTGGGCCTGATCCCTTGGTTGTCCTGTACGTGCTGTGGGATCACACTCAAGATGATCTGTTCCATAACCTTGATGTGCACTGAGGTCAGGCTGACAGGCCTGTAGTTCCCTGGATCCTCTTTCTGGCCCTTCTTGTGGATGTCACACTGCTCAAACTCCAGTTGCCCGAGACCTCCCCAGTTAGCCAGGACTGAGGATAAACGACGAAGAGCAGCTTAGTGAGCTCTTCTGCCAGCTCTCTCAGTATCCCTGGATGAGTCCCATCCAGTCCCACAGACTCGTGGGTATCAGTGGAGTTAATCCATTTATACTAGTGAAAAATGGTCTTAACCCCTCAGCACTGCTAAAAATAGACAAAGAAGGCATAAATTAAGTAAATCACATTTTTGAAAAACATCTAGGCACTTTTGAACACCTCATTACACAACCTGAAAACTGAGGGGCTTTTCTTATTCCCAGAGGTAATTGGCTTCCTGAGGCAGGAACTGTTCTTTTGTTGTATCTGTGGCAGGTTAATGCAATTGAGCCTTTATATATTTAGCAATAACAAACTACCTATATTTTCAGGATAAACAAAAGTGGAGTGTGACTTTAAAAAAAAACCCGGGAAGACTACTGTAAAATTTACCAGTTCATATATTAATAGAATATTTCCTTTACCAAAGTTTTTTTATGACAGCACATGCACACACACATATACATCACACAGGGGTATCTTATCTATTCACTAGCAAGAAAACTAGAAAATACGTTTTTTTCAGAGTGCACTGAAGAGACAGAAAGCATGAAGCCATGTGTGTGCACCAGAGGAACATAGATGTATGCCTTCTGGACCTACTCAGTGCTGTCATGCATTTACCTGCTCAAATCCTTTTTTACTCAAGTGTGCAGGACAGATTTTCCTGGGTAACTCATTCTGATGATGACCACAGAAGAGTTGAAAAATGTGTATTGTTATCTTTGTTGGAACTTTGAGGCTATTATGTTTGGAACACTAAAAACACATCTCACAGGGCTTCATTAACACAGCCCAGATTAAGGATGGTAACAGAAAGCCTCTCCTAGCTACAGTTCATGTGAACCCACCCATTATTCAAACAGGGGCCTTCTCTAAAAAACAACAGTTAAGGCTCAGCACCCCTAAGTACAAGCAGAAGCTACCACCCCTCTTGAGGAGAGCAACAAGTGTGACAAAGGTCCCCTTAATGGTTAGTAGTTTAAATGACCTCTACCTGCCTCACTGATAAACCAAATTTGCTGCTCTCTTCCAGCCATGGAGCACTCTGCTGGTGTCAGCAAGGCTGCCTTCATGAACACTGCTCCTTGGTTTCATTCTGAGATGTTTGAAAGAGAAAACATTTGTCAGACATGCATGCCCATGCTGATAGTATTTACACTTCCAAGCTTTTCTTTGTAGCCATGAGCAGTAAAGGCCTACTTTCTGTTTTTGAAAGGAAAGCCAAAGCCAGGATTCTGAGATAATCACGAGATCTTGGGAGCTGGCACCACAGTCCTGTTTGCTGACACAGAGAACTTGTCTGGCATGGGTGTAAGTCTTGCCTAGTTGGCCATCATCCCTGAGGTTCAGTATGTAAGTCAAATATGTAGAAATTCATGTTAAAAGTTTTAAAATTGCAAACATTTTAAATCCAGTGATCTGTAGTTTGTTTCTTTGTGTTGTTTATGCTGACTCAAAGGCAGTGTGATTCCATAACATGGGAATGTGGGGACTCTTGCTCTGAAAACCTCTTATGCTGTCTTGACTTTTGCAGCACTGAGACCTACAAGTTCATTCATGCCTGCTTTATTAGCAAGGCTCAGAAGATATCAAGTGTAAGGAAACATGGCTTAGTAAGTTTTATTTATGCTTAGACTCAGGACATGTGTCTGGAAAGAAAATGATTTGACACCATGGGTAAGACATCGTGCAGACAACTTGTGAGGATTATGCACAGACTTGGTTACAACTCCCTAATATGAATTCTCAAGGAGTGACATTCTTCTTGACTTGGTCCCATGACCACGAGATGACAGAGTTCACAATCCAGAAGGCTGGGAGGTGAAACAGCAAAATTCAGACTCCATATTTTACATGCTCAGATTTCAGCTTATCCAGGGAATTGCTTGGAAGAGACCCCTGAGAAAGAGCCAAGAAGAGAAAGGATGACCAGGAGAGCTAAATGATTTTTAAAGAAAACTTGCTAAGAGCTCAGGAACAAACCATCCCATTGTACTGGAAAATACGCTTAGCAAAAGCTTCTCAGTACTAAAACACAAAAGAGGAAAAATAGTAGAGTGAGAAAGAAGGACCAAGAGAAAAAAAGGGAATATAAAAGCATTTGGGACAAAACCAAAGCTCTGCTGAATACTACTGAGGTACACTAAAGAAAACAAGAAGAAGGTCTACAAATATGTTGGTAGCAAAAACAAAGCCATAGAAAACATGGGTCTTTTGGCTGAGGGAACAAGCTAGTGATGAACCATACAGAAACGGCTGAAAAAAATATTGCTGTTTTTATTCCTGGTTCTCACAGACAAAGTCTGTTCCCAGATTTCCACATGTACCAGTACAGTTTGAGAAGGTGAGGGGCTAGCAACATTGGCTAGAGAACACTTAGAGAAACCAGATATACACAGATCCATGGGATGACTATTATTCACCTTTGGGCACTGAAAGAGCTCAGTGAAGTGAAACCATTGTCTGCCATGTATGAAAATTCACAGAGACCAAGAGAGGCCCCTGATAACTGAAAAATGCTAATGTTATGCTCATGTGGGGAGTGGCCTGGCTGCATTCAGCAAGGCTCCAGCATGTCTGGGCTAGTCAGGGGATGTGTTAGGACTTGTTGCCTGAGGGCCTTGGGAGGAGTAGGTGTGGAGATGGGACCCCTGAACAGAAAGCGCCTGCGTGCTGGCTCACCAGCCCCCAGTTGGGACGTTGCTGGGGTAAACAAGTTGTTGTGCCTTAGGTTGACCAGTTGGTACACACCTAATGTTTTGAACAAGCCAATCAGCAGGGAATATGCTAAGCAAAGGGACTATAAGGGTCTGTGTAAAACAACAATAAACGGACATTTTGCTTGCATCAAGCTGCGTCCCGTCTCTCCATCGCGGCATGCTCACCTTCTAAAAAAGGCAAGAAGAAAGACCCAGGAAACTATAGACAAATCTGCATTATTTCAGTCCCAGGATCATGGGGCACATCCTCACAGAATTAATTTCCAAATATATAAAGGACAAGAAAGTTATTTGGAATGGTCAACATGGACTGACCAAGGGCAAACCATCCCTGGCTAACCTGCTCACCTTGAATGATGGAATGACTGGATATGGGAACAAGGGAAGATCTGTGGATGTAATTCACCTTGGTACTAGTAAAGCTCTTGATGCTGCCTTCCACAGCAGTCTTGTTTGGAAGCTGAGGAAGTATAGGTTGAAAGAAAGAATTGTTAGGTGGGGTCTAAATTTGCCAGGCCACCAGACTCATAGGATAGTGGTCAATGGTTTCATGTCTGACTGGTTGCTGATAATGACTGGAGTAACACAGGGGGCAGTACTGGGGGCCACATTGCTAACCACCTTCAGTTGTGACATGGATGAGGACACAAAGTGCACCCTCAGCTAATGTGTGGGTGTCACAGGTTAGGAACAGTGATCCAGGGAAAACAAACAGCAGAACTTAAATACAGAGGAGTCTCGATAAACTTGATAATTAGATGATGTTGTATGAAGTTCAGCAAAAGAACTGCAAAGTTCTGCACCTGGGTTGGAAACACCCCATAGTTTGTACAGACTGGGAAGTGACCTGCTGCCATGACATAGTGTACCTGACTTGTGCAGAGAACTTGAGGAATGTAGTCTTACTGAGTCTGGAGAAAAAGAAGGTGTCTAACTGCAGTCTCCAATTACTTCTTGTAGGTCATTAGAAAAACCCTTAGCTAAACCCTTCTCATTAGTGCTAGATGATGTAACAAGGAACAGTGGTCACCATCTGTGGCTTAGGGTGATTCATGTTGGACATGAGGAAAGTGTTTTTCACTAGAGGAATAGTACAGCAGTGGAACAGGTTGCCCGGAGAGACTGTGGACTCTTCATTGGAGCTTTCTGAGGCTCAGCTAGACAAAAGCATAACTGACTTGATCCACAGTTTGTGACAGTTCCATTTTGAAGATGAGGATGACTTCCAGAGATCCTGCCCAACCAGCATTTGAAAGCTTTTGTGTTTCCATTATAAAGACACCAGCACATGGTCAGACTGACAGTCTATATAGTCCAATGTACTATTTCAAGCAACAGACAGAGGATAGAGACAGGACAAGACTGAAATACTACTTTCCCAGAACACTCTCTCAGATGACAGCATTCTGTGGATCATCAATATAAATATGCTAAAATAATTCATACAGTTAGGCAATAAACTAAACAGCAGTCAAGGTATATGAAGCATTTATGCAGTTTGAAGGACTTTCTTCAGTTAAACTGGAGGAGAAACTCTGCTTAAAATCCACATTCTTAAATCAAAAAACTTAACAAAAATTTGTGCTAGGGCAGTGGAAAGCACTTACATTATAGTAAGATTTCAAATACATACGGATGTGGAAGTATATGTGGAGGTATAAGAGAACTGGCCAGCCCTTAGCTGACAGATACTTGATAAATGTTAAAAAGTTGACAAACAGATACTTGACAAATACTTGACACTCCTTCAGGTGTATAAGGAGAGACTGGCCATGGCACTTAGTGCCATGGCCTAGTTGACATGGTGGTGTTAGGTCATAGGTTGGACTTGAAAATCTCAGAGGCCTTTTCCAACCTGAACTGACTCTGTGAAATGGGAATGTTCATACAATCTATAAACAATGTTAACCAGTACAAACCATACTCTGGCCCTTGGGGAGGTAGAAAATTCATCTTCCCTGACTCTGACCATCTAAAAATTATGTGTCCAGTCTAGCAAGTCATGCAAGCTCCCTGCACTTCCATAAATTTATGTCAGAGCTGTGAGCAATTGACTTCTAGAAGAGTGCATCTCTTTC